GGAGAAACTGGCTTTTCACCAAGAAGATGATGATTGAGCTGGGTCTTGAAGGATGAGTAGGAGTCTGCAGGTGGATTTGGGGAGGAAGGGAGGAGGGGGTTCCAGGCAGAGGGGGTAGCATGGGAAAAAGCCCAGGGGCATAAAGCCAGGAGAGGGTGTCAGGAACTGTAGGAGATCCCTGAAGCTGGAGCAGAAAGCCGAAGGGATAGGGTGATGGGAAGAAAGCTGTTCGGAGAGCGGCTCGTGCGGGATCTCGGATGTCACGTAAAGGAACATGTAACCTACTCTGAGGGCAGAGTGGAGCCTGGGAGCGATCCAAAACCCAGTCAGTGTGGTGTCTGGGAAGGCTTAGGCTGCGGGGACCAAATGTACTGGAGGTGACAGCAGCCCAGCCTCTCCGGGCTGGAGAGGGGTGCAGGTGCACCTCAACTAAGCCGGAGCAAAGGGACGGAAGTAAAAGGACAACAAAGAGGTAGGACTGCCTAGATCATAGATTTGGGGGTGGGGCGGGGGAGACTCCCAGACAGAGGGATTGTGTGTGCAGAAATACAGCGATTTGAAAGCACACCACCATGCTTGAAGAGAGAGCAACTGTACCAAGGAGTAGGTCGGCCGTGCGGGGGGGGGGCGGGGGGGGTGGGGGTGTGGATTAGTTCAGAGAGAGAAGAATAAATGGAGACTCGTATCGGGAAGTTCTTAACAAATATATGTGGCCATTTGGATTACTGTTCCCAAGCATCATTCTCTGCCAGACAGCAAAGGCAGAGGGCTGTCAAGGGCTGCCTTGACGTTGGTTGCTGAAGGGTGGGGTGGCTCTGGCAATTTCTTAAAATAAGACACCGGTGCAGTGAGCTCCATCAATTGACTCTCCCTTATGAGAATGATTTCTCTGTAGCATGTGATACTGTTCAATAGCATTTTACCCACATTAGGACTTCTTTTAAAATTGAAGCCGGTCCTCTCAAGCCCTGCCGCTGCTCCATCAACCAAGCTGATGTGATATTCTAAATCCTTTGTTGTCATTTCAACCATCTTCACGGCCTCTTCACCAGTAGATGCTATCTCGAGGAACCGCTTTCTTTGCTCATCCATAAGAAGCAGCTTCTCATCTGCCAAGGTTCTCTCATGAGATTGCAGCAATGCAAATACAGTAATAGTGAAAGCGTTTGTTGAAATCATGAAGAAATTGCAAGAATGACCAAAAGGTGCCGTGAGCAAATGCTGTTGCCGTAAATGGCGCACCTAGACTTTCTGGACCCAGGGTTGCCACAAAGCTTCAATTTGTAAAAAAAAAAAAAAAAAAAAAAAAAAAAAAAAACCCGCAATATCTGCAAAGCACAATAAAACAAATGTGCCTGTATATACATCTGTCCCATTGCCTCTGGGCATGGACATATTGCTGGCTTTGACCAGCAGCATGTGGGTAGAAGTGACAGTGTGCCAGTTTAGAGTAAAGGCTTTAAGAGGCATTACATCATTTCCTTCTTCCTCCAACTCTAACCATGAACATGACATATACCAGATAGAAGCAGCTCCTTCAGCCTATGTCCTGCAATGAGAAGACACATGGGCAGATCTTCTGGCTGGCTGGCACCTGCAGCACAGCCACAAAACCATGTATCACAATGGCTCTCCAGCCGTCATGTAAGGTGAACAATAAACTTTCATGGTCAGAAGTTAAGATTGGGGGTTGTTTGTTATGCAGCATAGCTGCAGCAAAAGCTAGCTGATACACCCTCCATGAGACATACTATAGCATGTCTCATATAGTGATACTCTATGATAGTATCATGTGATGCACACTATATGAGACACAAAGGGAGCAGATGGTGAAGAACTTTCCACGTCACGATTAAGAGCTGTGCACATGGAAGGTCAACAGAGAATTCTGTAGTTGATACACATTGGAACCTTCATTCACTCACACCCAGTCACAGAGGTGGAGACATCCATCCTTCTGCTCATCTAGAATTTTGCCCTATTGGCCATCTCTTACCTCTCTTAGACTGAGTCCTTCCCCTGGCCTGTATCTCCCTTGTCTTTTCTGTCCTAAAATCCTTCCCTTCACCTTCACCTTCCTACAACTGTAGCTCAATCTCCCTCTGGCCTTTTCACACAAATTTCTTGAAAGTATTGCCTGTACTCACCATCTCCACTTCTTTCTCTCTCCTATCTCAGCAATCTAACTTGTCTGTCCTCCATCCCCCCAAAATTACTCCCAGCAGATTTCAGTAATCTCCTAACTGCCCAGTGCATCTTCCTGCCCTTATCTTCCCAGGCTGCTCCACACCATTTAGCGTGGAACCAAATACATTATCTCTGCCCTTGACCCAAATGTTCCTCGTTATGTATTCTCTCAGCTAGTGGTGCCATCATTCATCCAGTGACCCATGACAGAAAGCCAATACGAGATAATGAGTTGTGTCCGGCCTTGCCAAGTTTGTAGCATCTTTGAGACATCCAAGAAGAGATGCCCAGCGGGCAGTGAAACATGTGAATCGGGGACCCAAAACAGAGATGTGAACTGGAGATAAAGATGACTGCTCTGGAGGTAGCATTTAAAGTCATTGGCATGGGGGCACCTGGGTGGCTCAGTCAGTTAAGTGTCTGGCTCTTGCTTTCCAGGTCAGATCATGATCTCACAGTTCATGAGTTCGAGCCCCCATTGCACTCTGTGCTGACAGCATGGAGCCTGCTTGGGATTCTTTCTCTCTCCCTCTCTCAACCCTCCCCCCCCTTCTCAAAATAAATAAATAGACTTTAAAAACAATTAAAAAAAAAAAGCCATAAGCGTGGACAAACTTGCTTAGTTTATAGAGTAAAAGTACCAGGTCTTAAATTGCAGGTGATACACAGAGAGCTCTCCTAAGCCCAGAATTTCCTATTCCTAATGTCACAATTCCAACCATTCCATTAGGTTCCTTCCCTCCGGAGGCATGGCTTCTAGTGGCCTCCACACCACCATCTTATTTTATGTTCTGCCCCCTGTTCGTGCTGTCTTCTCCAACAGCCCTTAAAATCCATCATAAAAATAGAAGATATAAGATACCATCACCCTGCCACTAAAATGGCTAAAATCAAAACGACTAAAATAAAATCAACACCGAATATCATCAAGCAGGTGGAATAATTGCAAGAGCCTGATGTGGCTGTGGGAAGGTAAAATGGTATGCCCTATGACCCACGGATTTCAGTCCTACATGAAAACCAATGTCCACAAAAGAATTCTACAAGAAATAAGAGCTCAAACTGGAAATAACCCGACGCGTTCCTCAATAAGGGAATAAATAAGCAAACCGTGGTATACCCATCCAACAGAATAAACTACCACCCAAGCAATAAAAAGGAACAGACTACTCATATATGCAGCAACACAGGTGAATTTGGAAACCACGACGTCAAGTGAAATAAACCAGAGATAGACAGTATGATTCTATTTGCACGAAGTACAAGAGCAGGCAAAATTAATCAATGGTAATAAAATCAGGAAATGGTTGTCCGGGAGGGACAGAAGGAAAATTAGTTGGAAATGGAAACTTTCCAGGATGTTGCAAATATTTACCTGTCACTTTGGGTGGTGGTTGCATAGGTGTGAACAGCTGTCAAAACATGTCTGAACTGAAGACTGAAGATTTGTGGATACTATTGTATCTAGATGATACTTTAATTAAAAATTAGAAAAATAATTTGTAAGGATCTACCAAAAAACACTAAAATGAAAAGAACGTACGGGGCAGAAAACACACTCATTTCAAATACAATTATATTTATAGTGTGAATGTCCCTATATGAATGCCCAGTCTCCCGCTTAATGCTGTCCCCTTTCAGCTATTCTCACTCACTCTTGCTCCCATCTTAATGACGTCTGTCCATTAGCTGTTTTCGAACCATCAGGAGAGATGATGTAATATAAAGAGCACAAGCCTTAAGTCAGACAGGGCTGCATTCAAATCCCAGCCTTGAGTTAGAAGCTGAGCATCCGTGGGTGAGTTACTTGACCTCTCTGAACTTCATTTCCTTTACTATAAAATGAGGTAACAAGATCCCCCACCCTGTTGGGTTGGGCTAAGATAAGGGCAGTGTGCTGACTAGCTCCTGGGGAACCTAATGCTTTTTGATCTTAGCCTATGAACAAACTGTTAGTTCTACTCGCATCTAAAGGCCCCACAAAAGTCTGAAAACATCTCAGAGGATGTGATTCATGGCTTCTTCTCCCAGAAGGGTAAGAAGGTGAACCAGAGGCCTTGGAATTAGGATCCAGGTGAGCTGGTGCTAACAGCTGGAGAAATGGCTGCTCGGAGCCACCATGGCCAAGGGAAAGGTGCTCGTGGCCCATGACTCAGGAGACAGGCTTCCTGGCAAGGCTTGGCCACCAGAGAATCTTACACAAACCACTTTGCATACCTCTTGACTCAGTTTCTCAAAGCAGACTGGATCTGAGGAATCTGATAACAAAAACAGCCCCTGGGGTTTCCCAATGTACATAGGAGAGATAAAGGCAGAAGGGAGCTTGTTCGGTCTGAAAGAAGGAAGGAGGGGTCAGAGCCCTGCCCTGTAGGCCCCCCTCCCCCACTACGGTGGCTCCAGAGCCAGGATCTCAAGACTCCCAGGAGCACAGTCTGCAACCTCCTGGACCAAGGTAAACCCCAGGGGCATTCCCAGCTCTGCTTTATTAAGTCATTGAATACCTGCCACTTCTAACAACAATTGAGATCTGCACCTGTCCCCCCCCCTCCCCTGCCATCTGGTAGGAGAGACACGGTACACCCAGCAATAACTCAGAACCAGGGAGAAAGTGCTTGCTTAGTGCAGCCAAAGAGGCACAGAAGTGCAACAGAATAACCATGTCCCCACCGCAGGACACACACGCTGGCATTTTCTTACTCAGAGCAGCACCCCCATTTCATAGTTGCATTAACAGGCTTCCCCGGGATAGCGTCTCCCAGCTAAGAAGCAGTGAGGCCTGGGGTCCCCGGCATCTCCTGCCTCCTGAGACATACCTATTTCCAGGTAAATGAAGAAGGCAACGAGGCCTGCGCCAGATCCAGAAGGAGTGCAAACGGCGAGCAAAGCCACAGAAGCAGCCGCCTGGTCCCGGTTCCTTCCGGGGGCGGAATGGGAGAGGTGCTGGGGCGGCGGGGGAGGGGATGCGGGGGGGGGGGGGGGGGGAGGAGGAGAGGCGCTGACACCCTCCTCGCCTTCCTCCTCCTCCCCGGCCCGGCCAGCGGGAAGATTGGGAAATCTCAAGTCGCTCTGCTTTCTCTCCTGCAGCGCTAACAATTTTTTCCACTTTACTGTTTTTTGGATGCCTTTCAAGAGTTTGTGCAATCATTCTGTTTAGCTGTTTTTCTGCCATTTTCAACGGCGGGGTGGTGTCCCTTTCGAGCAGGAACGGGGCTGTTTGTAAAGTTGAAGGGACCCTGTCTCCTCCCTTCACCCCAGTGCAGCAGGCCCTTTTGCTGCCAAAGTTACAAATGTTTGAAACTTTCGCTGTGCCGAGTTTGGCTGGGTCCGCGCTCTCGGACCACTCCTCCTCCGTGCCCCAGCTTTCAGGGGCTCCGGCGCCCCCTCTCGTCACCCTCTCAGGCTCCCCCTTCTCAGGGACATCCTCTTCCCAAGTAGTCCAGGGCGAGAGCCCTCCCTCTGTCCTGCCCCACGGGCGAGGACAGACCCCTCACTCCTTTCGAGATTTCCCCAGGGGCGGGGGTCCGACCGCGTACCCCCCGGGGCTCCTCTCTCCCGCCCCCACCCCGTCGGCCCCGTGGGGAGACCTCGGCCCGCCGCCCCTCCGGCGAGTCTGCAGGCTGGGCAGAGGCAGCAACAGGGACAGGATGGGGACAGGGACCGGGGCAGAGAGAGCGAGCGACAAGAACAAAAGCGGGGACACAGGCAGGGCAGAAACAGGGCAGGGCCGGAGCGGTGGCCCCGCTCCTCTTCCCCGCCGCCCCCCAAGCCACGCCCGCAGCCCCCGGGCCGGGCCCAGCTCCCACCTCCCGGGGCTCGGGCGGCGCCCCGCGGGACCCAC